TTATTCATAAAATCAGCTTCATGCTGTTTGAAGCTTACCTGGACACATCTTTAACAAAGACAATTGAAACATTAACATTGCAGCTAATGAAATCATAGCCTCTGAAAAAACAATTAGAGTTTGTCCTTGACTAAGGTAGAACCAGGATTTATCACCATCCACAACTGCTTATAGAAACAACCAAAATTCGAGATGGAAGAGACACTCAGGACATTTTATTTCCAGTGAAAGAGAAGATGACTCCACTTTATCTACCCTGAGCACCATCCCAGTTGCAAAATGTTTTTCTTAGAATATATGTGATGTTATAGTCCAGACATTGAATATGGTGGCTTCTTCAGTCATTTCCAAATATATTCTAATATATTAATTCTTTTAGTTCTGAAATTACTGAATTATAAATACATTATTTATCAAAAGGAACTTTAAAAGGTAAGTACAGGCACAGGAGACACTAGCTGTCACTGTGCTGGTGAATTTCTTCCACAAAAGGTAATGGATGGCATGTGTCATAATTCATGGTGGCAAATGACTTTTTATAAACTTCCAAAACAAAATGAAGTGGGGCTTTTTCTTCAAATTATTCAGAGATTTTTGAATCCGTTCCAAAATTGAGGAGCTTTGTACATGTCTATACATAACTTGTAAAACAAGCTCACTGTCATGTGTGACCTTGCTATGAAATATGGTAGGCTCAAAGCTATGTTTTCTGCCTTTTCTTAACAGTTGTATATGGCCATATGATTTATATTGTAACTTTATACACAGATGTCATACTTTATAATCTTTCATACAATATTGTGAAACCAAATTACTGTGCAGCTCAATGTACATACTAAAAGTGCAAGGTTAAAAGTGTTGGTTATTTTTCTTACCAGGCCCTTGTCTTGAAACTTCACAGCAAATTATAAAGGGATTTTAAAAATTGTAATCTAAATTTAATGGAGCTTTTGGTATGCTATTGTCTTTATGTTGTTATAAAATTCTTCCTTCCAAAGAGGCACCACTGATGTAATAGCCATCCAGATTTTGGTTTACTTCTTCAGCCTAAAAAGAAATGGAACGAAAACTTTGCTGGTTTAGCTACAACCTATTTTGCAAATACATTAGAAGATGTTTGTAAGTTTAAGTAACTCTGAGACGTATATTATGTAAATCAAGTTTTAACTTGACTGCACAAACATCTACAATAAAGGGGCTCTAGTGGTGTTGCCAGGAAGAGATTTGAAAACATTTCCTGAATTACCCTCTTATTTCTGGCATACCTTGAAGTGGAAGAGGGCTTCGGTTTAGTTTTACTGACCTTGTTCTTTTAAACATTTCAGTGAGCAAAACCAAGCTTTAAAATCTGCACGTCTTTGGAGCTCCTTAACTCAGGAACCCTATTCATTGTTTTTCCCTCTTTAACGGGGCACTTGCTGTTCTGCCTGTGTTTCTATATTTAAAGAAACAATCAGCTCCTGTACTCCTGAGCATCTTAAAGGAAACTCTTTTGGCAAGTCTACAGTTTTAAACACCAGAATCTTTTATGACAGCTAAAAGTAGAATTTGATTTGAGAGGCTGATTAACAGTTATTAATTGGAAAGTCCAAGTTAAGGAAGACATAATAATATATTTGCTCCAAATGTATCTCTCTCTC